CGCTTAGATGGTTCCGCCCCAGGCGCCTGATGGACCCAGAGAGGTTCCTGACGGAGCTTGGGCCATATCCTGAGGACCTAGTTCACGATTCGGTTGAAAATCTGGCGGCGGCCTGGGATGTGGCCGCTGCCGCAGCATTGGACCGAGTCGTGCCTTTGCGGCCTCTGACCCGGCGCAGATCTCAACTGGCTCCCTGGTTCACCGAGGAGCTGAGAGAGATGAAGCGCCGGAAAAGACGCCTAGAGAGCAGTTGGAGGGCGAGCCGAACCGAATCCGATCGAGCACAGGCAAGGATGCAGGTTAGATCCTACCTAGTGGCGATGAGGGTGGCGAGGTCCAACTACTACTCCACCCTCATTGCGTCATCAGATAATCGCCCGGCCACCCTCTTCAGGGTGACCCGCTCTCTCCTTCAGTTGAGGGCGGGGAGGATCCCCTGGAGGGGAGGGCCGAGGATTTTGCTCAATATCTGTATGACAAAGTCGCTCGGATTCAAGAAGGTCTTGACTCTGACTGGGTGGCCCGGGGGAGGAGACGGGAGCAGGTCTTGAGACTGTTATATGGGAGGAGTTTGACTCTGTGGCCCCCGAGGACGTGGACAGGATCCTGGGGAGGCTGAATGAAACCACATGTTTACTGGATCCGTGCCCCTCCTGGCTGGTACTGGCTGCCCGGGAGGGTACACGAGCCTGGCTCCAGGGAATTATAAACGCTTCCTTACGGGAGGGTGTCTTCCCCGTAGCCTTGAAGGAGGCTGTGGTGAGGCCCCTCCTTAAGAAGCCTTCCCTGGACCCAGATGTATTAGCTAACTATCGCCCGGTCTCCAACCTTCGCTTTGTGGCGAAGGTTGTTGAGAGTGTGGTTGCGCAGCAATTCCCCCGGCGCCTGGAGGAAACAGTCTATCTAGACCCGCTCCAGTCGGGCTTCAGGCCGGGATACAGCACGGAAATAGCATCGGTCACACTGGTGAATGATCTCTGGAGGGCCCGGGACAGGGGTCATTCCTCTGTCCTATTTCTTTTGGACCTCTCAGCAGCTTTTGATACTGTGGACCACGGTATCATGCTGCGGCGCCTGGTGGAGTTTGGAGTGGGAGGCACCGTTATGCGGTGGTTCTCCTCCTTCCTCACCGACCGCACGGAGTCTGTATTGGCAGGGGGACAGAGGTCGACCCCAAGGCCCCTAACTTGTGGGGTGCCACAAGGGTCGGTCCTCTCCCCCCTATTGTTCAATATTTATGTGAAGCCGCTGGGTGAGATCATCCGTAGCTTCGGGGTGGATTTCCATCAGTACGCTGATGATACTCAGCTGTACATTTCCACCCCAGGCCACCCCAATGATGCCCTTGATGTGATGGCCCGGTGCCTGGAGGCCATATGGGTCTGGATGGGGAGAAACAGACTCAGGCTCAACCCTTCCAAGACTGAGTGGCTGTGGTTGCCGGCTCCCAGGCATAGTCAGCTGACTCCGTCGC